CACATTAAAGGCTAGCATTAGAGAAAGAGGCATTATTCATATTTCGCACGTTATTGTTCTGTGGGTGCCAGCCAGCGAATTGTTTGGTTAAGAATGGTCGCCACACTGCCCTTCTTGAACTGAGATTGAATGCGTTGGGTAGCCTATACTTTTGTCATTAAGAGGTTGAATTTCTGTAGCTGTTCTCAGTATTGTGGGAATTCGGTTGTATGCCAGCTCCGATGGCCATCGAGCAGGGTGGTGGTGCTGACTTTTTAACCACGCATGTGTCTTAGTAACAGTTAGCAAGGGGGGTGTTAATTTTGTGATGTAGGATGCTGTATCAAGGTGACTAATCGTGAGATGCATTCAGAACTGTTCCATGCGAGGGTATTGCTATTCCAGTCAGCTCTTAATTTCCCCGTGTAAATTTCCAACTCCCAATGTATGTATGTCGCACTTGGATCTAGGATGCTAGCTTTGCACACTAAAGCGGTGTTCCGAAACCCCTAATGAGAATAGGCTGGATTGTTCAAACGTAAGCACGTTATATTCTTTTCAAATAATTTAAAAATCTGTATTCTGGCTGTGAACGCTTCTGCGTCGCATTATCAGCTTGAGCACCCTTCCTCCAAGTTCGAAGTACTGTTTGAATTTTGGCAATATTTCGTAGCTCAAATCGGGAAGAGGCATACGTGAATTGCATCATCAACTCACTTCACCCGCTACTATATAGAATCCAATAAACTTGTGTTAGAAAAGGAAAAGGTGACATGTTACAGTTCCACTGTTTGGGTAGGCAACAATTAAGGCAGTATGAAGTTTTTCTATGGATCGAGTGCCTCCTTGCATCCAAATGGAGTCGCTTCTAGACCAATAAATAGGAATGGCAGGAGCATCTCCTTCCTTCATTTTGTTGCCGTGATTTCTGTTCCTTGTAGAGTGGATAGGATTCATACACTTTTGAAATATCCACCAGACCTCAACAACAGCTTTCTTGTTGTTGTGCAGGAAAGACGATTCTCCTTAAACGCTTCATACGGGTAGAGAAGGGAATTGCATTACCCTATCCACCTATCGGGGTCATGGAATGACTGCATTTAAGTGCTATGGCGACTGGAGTGCCGTACCATGACATGAGGGAAGGTCAGAGATCAATGCAGTTTCTATAATCTCGGCACTTGAGCCTTGTCAACAGTGAATAGTATGGTGACAGTTTTAATTGATGTAATTCACAACACTTATTGATGTTTATGACGTTTCCAGTGATGTCCCATCCATAGAATTGCCTTCTCCGAGAAAAATATGATGCACTGAACTTGGGTAGGTAGGTAGGTAGGTTCGGCTCTTTAGTTTTGCGAAAAGGACTCATTTTTTGAACGAACCTTTATGCTTGCAACAAGGCAAATGGGTCTTGGAGATTTGCCAATGCTACGCTATGATTGTAACTTAACTAGGGGATCCTTTCGCCACAACGAGTGTCACATGGCGATACTTCTTGCAAAGCCATGTTTGGGTAGATTTGTGATAGCAGTGGTTGATAAAATCACACGAGTTACTTAGAAACAGAATGATGTAAATGCATTTCTAATACCTCTTGTTGGTGAGACATTCACCGAATTAAATTTGCATTTGCGTTTTCTTCCATCCAGGCACACATCACTCCTAAAGCTCACTTTCATAAGGTTGATCACACAATCCTACGTTCGCTCATAAAAGTTGGCATTGTATCAGAAAAATTAATGGATTATCGTCCCGCCGTGCTTCAAATGCGACGAATTGAGCGTCTGAGTCGTAATTTTGGTCTCATTTTCTCCGACTTATCGTTCGCAGCAGAGGAGATTGCAGCCCTCCCCTCTACTTCCACTTCCTCCTGCAGATTGGACGTCTCTGCTCTTCTGGATACGCTTAAAAAACTTCAAGAAGCTCTTAATACCCTTACTGAGGGTCATCTCAGTACTAACTCGATCGGCCAAATGAACGCAGTCTTTGAGGAGCTTCAAGATGCACAATTATGGCAAAATGTTTTTGATTGCTCCTCAGCCAGCTCGGAGGAATGGAAGCTGGTTCGGAATTTGCGCAATTCATTTCATGAGCTTATTGAAGCGAAACTTCTTTGATTACTCACATGTGTACCGCTTCTATTTTTTTGGTTTTTGTTAATATTCACTTGAATACGCTTTCTTCTCATTGTCGCTTTCTTGTACAATTTGCGTGGGGTCTTTCGGAGCTCTATCGAAATGAACAGTGACTCCATCGAGTTCCTTTCAGGGGCTTTATCGATATTTCGTTAAACAATAATGGGGATTCTGGTATGCTCCTGGCACCAAGTCGGGAGTAGAATCGTAGACTACCGTTGTGGAAGAGTTTCGTTCTAAAATGCGAGAAAGTTGATGAAATCTAATAGATTAAACTTGGCTTTAGGTTCTTTTGAATTATTTAGCACTTAAAACACCACAGTGACTTGTTTAGATTTCAAGCTAAAGTAGACCTTGAAGGGTTACTATCCGCAATGGAGCTGCCTGTTTTCAGTGGGAATGTACGCTAAAAACTGCATGGGAGCAAATCCTTATTCAGCCACTAACTTTTTATGAATAAATGTCACCACGGTGGAAACAGTGCAGATCTATCTGTGGACTAATTGCGCTCCTGTTGCCGCGTGGGAGGCTAGTAAAATGGCCACCTCTTCATTGCAGTGCATAAAAATTCCATTTTTTAGGCCAAATTTTTAGGCTACAAAAAAATATTAAAAGAACTATTCCGATAATAATTTGAAATCTGTGAATCCACTTAATGGAGTTTTTACAGATGAGAAGAATTTTAACTACCACGACCATAACTAATATTACTGACTGATCGGGGAGTACTCTAGCTACGTGAGCCCGGTTCTGGACGTGCCTTATGAAAAATCGCAGACCCCGAGTTTAGAATGTGTATACGGGATGACCCGTCAAAATAAATTTAGGATAACCTCGATCGCTGATTGTTCACACGCTCTAATTTATCTGACACGCCAACTACTATCGTTTAACGCAAGGGTGGTGTCAGCGTTGCCATCGTCGGGCCCCTGCTTTGTATGCTCCATGGGAGCCTAATGTCATTTGGGTGCTTAACAATGATAAAAAGGTAAGTAGTGCAGGGAGTAGAGTACAGGCGATGAGCAAAGGAAGTTGTTTCATATTCTGAGGCAACCGACCTTTGCTAGCGCGGCGTTCGAGCTGAACTCCTGCCTCC